AGAACTCTGACCAGACAGGTTCAAACTTTAAAATTCAAAGACTTCCATTAATGTGAATCAGTTGTTGCTTTACCAAGATTGTGACAACTTAAAAAATATGTAAGAGCGAGCACCTTTGTGGGTTTTTTTCTCCCATAAGTCCAATAATTAAGATAATCTCTTCACCCAGCTTTTTGAGTAGCCAGTCTGTCATCCAGGTAACTACCTGACCTCTGTGATCATATAACATCATTATTGAGGTTGGGCTTATATTAAATTTAAAAATTATAAATGTAAAGGAACTATCAGATCTACTATAAAGTAGTTTCAGCTAATAGCTGAAGTCATACCAAAACCTTCAGCCCGCACCGAGGACCCATGATGTCTATTTCCTGGTGAAGCTGAACTCTTAGGTCAGGCTGTGAGCTGTTCTTTTGTGGAGAAGGAAGGAGAGAAAGATAAATTAATCTGCAATCACTGATTAGTGTCTTGGTGACCAGGCAGTCCGAGAGCACCTCTGCTCAACACCAGATGGTGTTCAGGTTGAAGGGCAGGGAGCACAAGCCCACACAGAGGACAGCTCCCTCCAAGCCCCCGAGACAACATGAGCAGCCAGTGTAGCACAATGACTTTTCTTGCTAGTAGCTTATCTTGGGAAATCCATAAAATCACACTTTTGTAGTAGTGCTCTCTAGCTTGATGAGTATTGTTTTTAAAACTGTGTTAATTAATTTAAAAATTATCTGCATTTTAGAAAACAATGAATAATTTTGTCTTTGTAACCCCTCAACTGAAAATGGCAAGAATGTTTTTGTTGTTGATAATTTTTATTTTTATTGTATCTCCCTCCCTTTCCTTAGGATGTTTAAAATGAAAAAATTTGGTCAAATCATGGAGGGTGGTTGCCCATGTGGGCGAAAAGCGACTTGCCTTGAGTGCCCTGCTGGGGCAGGGGCAAGTGCTGCTCGGTGTGCGTCCCGGAGTAGAAACCTCTGGCCTGCATCCCAGCGAGCCCCATTTAGGAGACTCCGAGTGTTCCCAGGACCACCACATTAGAAAAGTCCTAAATTTTAGTCTTTGCTGTGTGAACACTGAAATTCCCTAGGAATATATTCATGGTTTGGGTCCCGATTTATACACATGGATGCAGATGCTGGCATGGACCGTTACCATCCTCGTGCTGTTTTTTGTTTTGTTTTGTTTTTCTTTCATGGTCTGTAATCACTATTTGTAGGTCACTGGTGTTCAGCATTGTTTTCTCCTTTTCTTTTCCCCCTGCTGTTTTCTTTTTCCCTTATCTGTTGTTCAGATTCCTAGGATAACCAGTGTATGGCCAAGGATGCCTTTCCGACCACTTTTTTCTACCATACAAACAGCTTCTCTGCTCAGCTCTCACCCTTTGGAAGCAGCCATGTTTGGGGTAGCAGGGGCTATGTATTATCTGTGTGAGAGAGCTTTTACCAGCAGGTGGAAATCCTCAAAGGTTGGCCTCTTTCTGCTGGTTCTGGAAATTATTTTACTCTCTTTTTCTCTTTGCCAGTGATACCTTAGCTACTGCACTCTGCAAGAATTAACAGCTTAGATGGGCACTTTGCTTCTGATCATTGATTCCAATCTTGTGTAGGATGCATAGATCACACCATGATCTCAGTTGAGAAGTAACTTTGAAAGGACAACAAACTCAAAATGCAGCATCAGATCAGAGGGACCTGTGGGTGTTTGTCTCTTCAAGTGACCTCATTGTACGGCAGGGGCAGTGCCGCTTCCTTTCTCCATGTGCAGGAGGCACTCTGAGAACCCATATGTGCATTCC